GAGAGCAATAAACCAGCTACTTGGTAATTTTGAGTAGGGCTTGCCCTATGTTTCACAATGGAACATGAAGATCATCAGTTGAATATCATGAAAAATCTGTCTCAGAGATGTGCAGTTTCTTTCTGAGTTCTCAGTGGTAAGGGTCTATTGAATATTATATGCTAACCATGTATTAGATATATTGTTTGGAATTAGTGGTTCTACTTCTAAAGTCAACAAATTAATAAACAGCAATGATTTACTGAGTTCTAATTAGATACATAAATTTATGTCTAGTTTATTGGTTTTAGCCCTTTCTGTGCATTAAAATCAACTGGGCATCTGACAAAATTACTATTGTCCTGACCCAACTCCATCCTAATTAAATTAGAATTTCTAGAGATGAGTTCCAAAACTCTACCCCATTTTTTTTTTCCTTTTTGTCTTTTTTCGTGTCCGGCAACGGATCGCAACCCTCAGTGTTGCGCCCGTACCGGACCGGGACCGGCAACGGGATCACAACCCTCGGTGTTGCGGCCGCACCTCGCTCAGCCAGTGAGCGGGAACCGGTCTGTATGTGGGATCTGAACCCTCAGCAGGAGCGCCGCCATGCTCGCAAGCGGCGCACTGTAGCAGTGCGCCACCGGGCCGACCCTACGCCATTTTTTAAACCAGTATTTATTAACAAAACTTCTATAAATCATTTCATTTTCTACTCCAACCCTATGCCATTTTTTAAACCAGTATTTATTAACAAAACTTCTATAAATCATTTCATTTTCTACTCCATGATATTATTTTATTTAATTCTCATAGTAAATGTATAAAGTCAATAATATTATCTTTATTTTACAAATGAGCAAATTGAGGCTCAGAAATTTACTCCAAATAATAAGTAATTGTTTACCGAGTGCCTACTATGTGCCGGTCACAGTGCAAGATGTTTTGCACATTATCCCGGTATGAGATACACATTGTCGTACCAGTGTTCCCTAGAGTACTATCTGTGGAACACTGGTCTGTCAAGATGCTTCAAGGAAAAAAGATTCTCTGATCTGCTAGGTTTGAAAAATGCTGAAAACTTTTCCACCTCATTGGAAATTCTCAATGCATGACAACATATTAAACACACTGAAATATCATGCAGTAAAGGAATGTTTAGTGTGATGCTCTGTAGGTTATTTAACAATAAAATACTTATTTGAGAAACACTTTCCAATGGAACCCATTTTGAGAAGTACTCCTTTAAAATAATGTTATGTTCTAGAAACTATGCTCCAGTATTACATATTAAGAAACCAAGGCTCTGAGAACTTCGGTAACTTGCCTGAAGTCATTCAGCATGTGGCTATACTACAACTTGAACCTAAGTTTGGCTGACTTAGAAAATTCTCTTCTGATTCTAAATTTTATGATTCTAGTCTCTAGACTGTGATGATGACTCTAGACTCTATTTTTCTGTTAGTAAAGCTGAATTAAAGTTGTTGAAAGTATCAAACGTAATGTCATATGTGAAAACATTTTGGAAACTATACTATATAGTATATAAAATATCGAAATTAGGTAGTATACAGTCTAAAGTAGGACACAGATATCAATTTTTGAAAGGGATCATTTCTTTATCCAAATCACTGAGTTATAGTTTTACAGAATGATCTCTGTAGAAAGGCAAGTTTTGTTAGTTATTGTTAACCTTAATTGTCTGTACTTTATCGATCATACTTGAACTTTTTTGGTAGCAGTTTGGTTTTTTAAAAAGTCCTTGGGAAAAGAAACTCATGCAATTTGTTTTTATATACTAAATCAACGAAATATGAAACTGAGAATAATGTCATACTTATCCCAACATCTGATTCTATTCATTAGGAAAATGTGAACTCTGACCTGGGTCAAAGAGTATATTGCTTCTATTTCAAAAAGGACAAATAAATGTTAGTATTATTTATAGGTATTTTCTTAAAAGCACATTTATTTAAAGAAGAAAGCAAGGATGAGAAACAATCAGAGCAAGAGTCAAGTTTCTTGAACATGCTTTACTGGAGAAATATAGGACCGATTGGAAAAACTTGTGATTCAAAAATTGGAACCCATTTAAAGCTAAGCAAAGAGAAGGTGAAATGATACATACTGCACAGATGGCATATCTCTACTCCTGAGGAGTGTGTTTTAGGGGATCACTTGATGTGTCAAAAGGTAATCCCATTAAGGAAAACAAAGACCAACTGATCCCATATTGAGAGAAGATGAAAGGCATCTTCAATTCTCCTATTCACTGTGAAGAGGAAACAAGCCCAGAGGGACCATCAGACATTCTGTGTCACAACAAATTAAGTATGCAATTGGCTTTCTATGTCACCAAGTTGAGTTAGAGTGGGAATTATTTACAGCAGTTTGAATGCAGGTAGAAAATAAATCTACAGAGATCTGTAACTAATGTGTGTGGAAATTCTTTTCTCTATTTATTTTCTCCTTTTTGCCTCCTCCCCAACACATTTGGAATGAATTAATAATGGTGATACACCCACAGCAATGAGTATGAAGGTGGCAATGCTCAGAAAAGATTGCTCCGAGAACAAGCACTCTGTCTGTCCTAGGTGAGTGGGAAAGGAATGAAATAACATCTGGTGGTAAGATGCTCATCAGTGTAAAAAGTGAGGGTGAGTGAGTGGTAAATAGAAGATGCTCTGAGTTAGTTCATAGCTTAGGTGTTTGCTTGGATCTTCAAAGAAATAATATATAGCTTGAAAAAAAAATCACAGTTCCTTAGAGACTCTGAATCTACAGAAGATCATTAAATTCTAAAAGGAAATGTTACTTGATAGCTCCATGTTGACAAATATCTGCCCGGGAATCATTTTTCTCTGTGTTGTGCATTTGTGAGTGATGTTCAACCAAGCTGATGCTCTTCTGTGAAAACCAGAGATTTTTTTAGTTTTCTTTCTCTGCATCAAGGTTTTTTAATCTTTAAAATCTAAGACACCTTTGAGTCTTTGTGTAAATGATACATTTTAAATAATGGAATCAATTTGAATTAAAAATTAACAGTGCTACGGAGTTATATATGTACTTATTGAAAAAATAAGGGCTTTGGGTAGTTTGAAAATGTATGGGACAGGCAGAAGAAAAGAGGAGGAAAAAATGTTCATAAAGATAAAAAGAAGTCTACAGAATTAGTATTTTGTTTTCATGCTTTCACTGTTGACTCTGAATCTTCTTTTTCATGACGAAGGAGTTGCTTATTTTTAGTGCATGAAAATAGATCTAAAATGACTATTTGGGACAGAGCAGATTCCTGTAAACGCACATATCTAGGAGTCTATATATCCCTGATACGCCCCCTTTTCAACATAAAGTGCACATCTGTTTCCAATGCGTTGAATTCAATGTCTAGAGTACATGAGTTTTGCTATCCTACTTATGCTTAGTGGATATAGATATCCATCAACAACAGCAATCAGCAAATACAATTTCTACTGGGCACACCTTTTTTTTTTTTTTTTTTTTAACATTATACAGTATGAACTGAGGACTGTGTCCGAATCCCTCTCTCCTCTCGAATTAATTTGCCACATTCTAAATCCGTAGATAAAGTAGTTCCAGAAGTAGAGTTGGTTGGATGGGTTTGCTTACATTGCAGTCCATAAAAGAAACAAAAAGCCTTGCATGCAAAAGAAATGGGAAAAAAATGTAGAAAAATGAATAAATCAGAAGCGAGAATGAATGTTTAAATGAAAATTTAAATCACATGAAGCTGGCAATTATGAGAAGCACATTAAAGCATAACATATACAAACTTTTATTTTTCAAATTAGTTGCATAAAACAAGACACCTCAAGAGCAAATTGAAGGTTAAAACAAAAGAGATCAGTCTATTCTGCCCTTTAATTAAAGACAGTTTTCTATAATGAGGTCTAGGAAAGGGGTACTCAACACTCTGGCAAGTGTATTATATTTCTGGGGAAGATTTTCATGATGAAAACAGATTACAACCAATCATCCTTAGTTTTGAGTGCTTAAGGAGGGCTTCCACTTAAAGGAAGTGGGTCTAGCCTCAGATTATGAATCAGAACCTGCTACATAATTTGAAGGGCACAGTGCAAAATAAAAATGTGGGACCCCTTATTAACAAATATTAAGAATTTCAAGAGAATGACAACAGAATGTTAAACTGGGTCTGTTATTAATAGTTCATAGTCATGAAATTCTAATAGTATCTTTAAATTGAATGGGTGGCCTAAAGCACTGTAGTGACTATGAGCTTTGTATTTTTTTATGCTAGTATGCTTGTGAAGGAATTTTCTTAAATCACCATCATCTTTTTTAGAAGAGTGTAAGTTCCATATGTAATTTCCTTCAAAGATAAAAGTAAGAGCCCAAAATGGGTGATGACTGAAATCATCCTATAATCCTAAATACAATTTTGAAAAATCAAGTCTCAAATATATCTTATTGCCATTTTGTATTGTTTATCTAATTCCTAGCAAAAAAAAAAAATTGGCAGTGAATTATCCTTTTAGAAATCCTACTTTGAGAGATGTAAAATGCTCAATTTCAAAATACTACTTTTATATCTTTATATAAGTTGTTTTGCATTAGTATATGTGCTCAGAATCTACACTTAAGGGCTGGTAACATTTCTCTCAAATATCTTTTTATATCTTTTCCAATTTTGGATTTATTTCTTCCTTGCTTTATCTAGGGTTTCTATCTTAAGAGCAAATAACTTTTCGAGAAATGAACATGAGTTTGGAATTTCTGCACTGTCATTCCAAATAGTGCTAATTGGATTTAGGGTATAAGGCTCTTCTTTCTTCTCATTAATAAATAATGAGGCTGCTAGCACCTGGCAGGAATTCAACAGCCCTTTGCTCTAACTCAAAAATGTCTCTTCTGGGCGTCTAATTCAATAGACTGTTACAAGAGAAAAAAAAAAAAAAAAGGGCAAGCATGCTTAAAAACCCCAAACTTAAGACACATAATGCCAACTAAAAACCACCCACTCCTAGAAAGAGATGACTCACCTGTTCAATATCATTGTTCTTCCGTGATTTGTATATAAATTCTCCAATGGCTACAAACACAGAAAGGACCAGTCCAGCAGCCAGGACAATGAAGATGCCCCCAATATTTTCTACTCCTAGAGCACTGGCCTCTTTATTGTCTTCCTCGGGGCAGCCGTTCCCCCGCCACCATTTCTCTTTCATCATGTGCAGCTTCCCCTCTTCTTGTAGCTGGAGAATAGCAATTGTAATTTTATCCCGGTAAGGAGAACCTGTAAGTGAGGTCATCACAATGCTGGTCACCAAAAGGTTGAAGATGTCAGGAAGTATTATTGTCTTAGCAGTAACTACTTTACGGCTGTTGTGAAATCCCAAACCACAAATCAGCTAGCAAAGGGGAAGCCTATATTTTGAAAGCTCTAAATAATTGGAAAGGGTTAGCTGACGTGTTGAGATTAACTCTGGCCTTGACTGTTTGCTCCTTTCAAGTAAGGAAAAGCTAAAGTAGGAATTCTGTTCCTGATGAGCTCTTCATGAATCTTTTCCCACATCAAAGGATTTTGTTCCTTAGATTCTACTTTTTCTAGGCTGTTGACTGTTTCATATTGTGACTAAGTATGGCTAGATAACCACCAGTGCCTTTTCCTCTTCCTAGGGGAATAACACCTACATCCCCATCTCCTTCTGGTTCAGTGTGGTCATTTCTAGTCAATGGGAATTAAAGTGATGTATGACATTTCCAGTTCTATGTCATAAATCTTCCCAACATAATTTTCTGTGTGCTCTCTCTCACCCTTTTCCCAAATACCTATTAGGAAGGAAAGGATTTCAAGTCATTAGGGATGGTGAACCCACAAATAGAAGAAACTTGGGGGCCTCAAAGTGACTGTATGAAGCAGAGCCTCTCTTTCAATTCACAAGAACTGTGACAAGAAAAAGAAATAAACATTTACTGTATAAGTCACTGAAAATTTGCAGATGTTGTTACGGCTGTTAGTCCATACTGACTAATGCACCTGTTAAGATAAACTTAAGAGTAGGCTTTGAATAATTCAAAGGTCCTACAAAATTTAGTTAGGTTTGGAAAATTTGCAAGGACTGTATGGATAATATTTATACTCTATCTTCTAGTAATGCTGCTGAACTTTTAATTAGATTAAGATAAACTTAAGAGTAGGCTTTGAATAATTCAAAGGTCCTACAAAATTTAGTTAGGTTTGGAAAATTTGAAAGGACTGTATGGATAATATTTATACTCTATCTTCTAGTAATGCTGCTGAACTTTTAATTAGGTCAGGTTTAGAGAGTAACAACATCTGTCTGTAGACATAGCATCTTAATACTGGATTCCTGTGTCAGCCAATGCAAAAGAAGAGAGAGAGTAAGATTCTTACTCAATTTCTCCTTGGAGACTAAGAATTTTTGTTAGTATTTCTTCTACTGAGCAGGAGAGTAATACACCCTGGCTTTCTCTGTTTGCAAAGTTTTTGGTGGAAGCAAATTGAAAAATTAAGCATCTTAGAACCAGAATAAATCTTAGAAATTATATAGGCCAGTCCACTTGTTTTAAAATTGAAGAAATTTAGCACTGAAAATATGAGAGAAACTAATAGGTACTGGCAGAACCAAGAATTAAATCAGTTCTCCTTACTTCTTACTTCTCAGTGTTATTCTCATGAAACTGCCCCCATATCACCCTTCCCACCTCCACATCGGCCTTATACCCTATGGCAGGGTTTACATTAAAAAAGAAGAAGGTTAACATTTGTGGCTTTTATCATTTGTTTTTCCTCCTAAGACTTCCTAACGTAGTTGTCAGCACTCAAAATCAAGTTTAAAAGAAGAGCAAATACTTTGGAGTTAGATTACCTCTTGTCAATTAAGAGTACAGATTTTTGGTAAGAAAACAGGTCTTGAAAGCCAAATTAAAAGATACTAGTTGTTTGCTTAAACTCTCCCAGAGTAATGGCTAGGACTGAAATGAGCACCATTAGCATGTCCATACATGTGAGCAATTAAGTGAAGCTGAAGTGCTTTGTGTTAATGTACATGAAAGTGCCTCGAAGAGTGTGAGAATAATTTTTATCGTAGTGGTTGCAGCAGTAATCATAGCAGTCTACACAGTGGGCACTCAATAAATGTTGACTGATGCTCTCCTTCTGCCTTCAGGCTGCACAATACCTATAACATTTCGGACATATGGGGATCCAATCTCTGTTTAAAGTTGCTCTCTAAGGAAGGTAATTTCCAGCCTCCCAGTAACCTGTTTAAGCCCTAACTGTTCTCACTCTCTTGTAGTTTTATTTGAAATCTCTCATGAGGCACATTTCCAAAGCTTCTGTCCTGAGAGTCTCTAAGAAGAAAAGTCTTCAATTTTGTGTTGCTACTGAGCCGACTTTGCCAATCTTCAACCATGGGAAAGAGTTTGGAACCCTCAGAGAGTCAGTCAGGACAAACCAGAAGTGTGCAGAGAATTTTTTACGTCTGAATATATTTTAAGTCCAATCTTCATTGTTGTTGCTTAAATGAACTGAATGACATCAGAAGCAATTTATTACAAGTCACTTGAAAAACTATGTATTTATACACGCAGATCTTCCTGAATAGCAACTGATCTTTCTTAAAGAGTCAATTCATCATAGAAGAAGCATCTCACCAATTTTTCCAACAGCTGTATTCCCAGTAGATGTATTCTTTTTGAGGTCTGCCATCTGTTCCAATTATTTCTTCATTGTTTTTGGTTTAAAAGCATGACAGGTTTATAACCACTATGAAAAATTCCTGGAGTATATTTCTTTTCATCTAGGGAGGGGGGAAGGCTCTTTAGCTTTGGGACTTATTATGGGTGATGTTGGCAAAAAAGAGACTGAACAGTACATTCAGACCTCTCTATCATGTACATAAAATCTAGTGATACTCATCACACAGACAGCCTGATTCACATGAAGGCAGGCAGTGATTTTCAAAGTGCCACATTAATTTAGAAGTGTTGCAGAAAGGAGGCCCTTGTTCACCTCCTGCCGTTCTCCAAGCCCCTGTTACTCACCATACTATCAGAAATTTTAGCTTTCAAGTTCTATTCTATTCTGTAGAAGGAACTCATGTTAAAGTGCAAATGTTCTCAGGAAGAATGATACACATTGATATTTTCTATCACTATTACCAGTCAGGAAATTTGGTCGCCAAAAGGGGTGTTTAAAAGTGGTAAGGTGCAGTTATGGGGTGGAAGGTGAAATGATAAGGGTGCAGTTTCAACTTTATCATTTAGTCTAATGATGGTTTAATTAAGAAACTATACTTGCTTCTCTAAGAAGATGCAGACTATATTGCAATCAGTCCTAGGGGTTTGATTCTGCAGATTCAGACAAAGGTACCCACTACTAGTGTTCTTGTCTGACTCATGGCCCATTTAACTAAAATCAGCAGTGAGGAGATATAAAAAAATAGCATCTGTCTAACTTCTTCTACCCATTATCTAAAGTAAGGTGGCAAAGTTTGGTTAGAGAAATAGGACATGTCTTTAAAGTCAAATGGTGGCATACTGTCTTTTTAGCTAGTGTCTAACAATCCCTCTGAAATCCCTGCAGAACATGTTGACTAAATTATAGGACAGCTTAACACCTGGGGAGAAAATATACACTTCACTATTTCATCAAGAAAAGTTATTAGAAACAAAAGGGCAATAGATAGGTATAGGATCTCTAGCACAATTTTTCTGCAGAAGATTTTTTAAAAGGACGTACATGATAACAAATAATAATAAAGTTAATTTCTCCACAGCATATATTCCTAACACCAGGTAGATAGCAGGGAGTCAAATTGGTTGTGTACTCATAGTAAATGTTGCAGCAAGTTGACTTTTATCTGGTTAATTAAATTAGCATTAATCAAAAGTTGAATACAGCATATATAATCTTTTCTTTTTTTAATGAATTTGTTGCCAAATTAAAAAATCAGAACAGTTCACCTAAAATCCGTTTTTTTTTTCCCTTGAAAAAATGGGTTATTTGGTAACCTGTGCTCAAATTTCCACATGTCTACAACTGACTGACCTGAAAAGCAGCTGCCTCCTTTAGATCAGTCACGTGGTCTCTAATTCTCTATAGTTGCCATCATGCCCTACTGCCTCCTCAAGCAAATAAGCCTTACTCACTTATGATATCTACCCGGTCTCTGTAAGCATTTGAGTTTGTGGTCCTTACCTGATGTTGAGGGTCAGACTGGACAATTCCTTTCAAACAACAAAAATAATATGAACAAGCAAATCAAATCTACCTTGAGCCCTTAATTATCTGGCTAGACTGTGATTATGATTTCTGCTTATTGGACTAGTCCAGTGGTCTGGATAGTCCCTGATTCCTCTCCTTTAAGATGCTTATCAGCAAATTACCAATGACTCAATTGAGAAGAGTGGGTTTGCCACCACACCAGAACTTTGGAACAATACAGTTTTCTATAGAAAGAAAAACAGTAGAAAAGGAGTGTTCTGTAGAGAGGGAGTCAGTAATTCTCCCTCGAATATAGAAGAATATTCTATTCATATCTATTACTGTCATGCAAGAAGCCATCCCTGTATAGATCTGTATATGGAAGGCAATAACCTCTCTAGGGATAGCAGTGGTACAGAACTAATGAATGAAAATATTTGAAGTTTTTAGATAGTTCTCATTGATTGAATTTAGTATATTGCCTGAGCAAATTATAATTATAATTTAATCTTTATCATTTTTCTTTTAGCTGATATAGCCTTGCTTTTTCATCTATTGATATGGAACACTAGCTGTCTAATTTTTGTCACCTATATGCATAATTAATTTTCTTATATTCTAATATAATTTACAGCAGAAAAATTATATAGGAATATGTAGTTATTGTATAAAATAATGTAAAGAGGATTAATCAGGAAGATATTTTCTTTAAGATATATTTTTGGGGGCTGGCCTGTGGCTCACTCAGGAGAGTGTGGTGCTGATAACACTAAGGCCACAGGTTCAGATCCCATATAGGGATGGCCGGTTCGCTCACTGGGTGAGCGTGGTACTGACAACACCAAGTCATATAAAGTAATGTAAAGAGGATTAATCAGGAAGATATTTTCTTTAAGATATATTTTTTGGGGCTGGCCTGTGGCTCACTCAGGAGAGTGTGGCGCTGATAACACTAAGGCCACGGGTTCAGATCCCATATAGGGATGGCCTGTTCGCTCACTGGGTGAGCGTGGTGCTGACAACACCAAGTCAAGGGTTAAGATCCCGTTACCGGTCATCTTTAAAAAAAAAAAAAGATATATTTTTTTTGTAAAATAATAAAACCTACATTTTATTAAATAGTTACATAGTCGCAGAATTTGAAAGAAACACTGGTTGAAAGTCTATTAGGTTAAATATCTGGGAATCTTCAATTCAGACCATGCTTCTGATCTATATTAATATTTTTCTTATTTATTAGTCCACTAAAGGTACTGTGGGCCTATCAGAATTTGCAATAGAGAACTCTGAGCCCATCCCCTTCTACACTTGCAGTCAACATTCCCCATCTCAGTCTTGGCTAATGAGTTGCCCTTCTTACCGATGGGCGTTCCCACTCCGTAGCCTTTGGAGTCAATGAGGCCCCCGATCTGAGTGAGGTTGCAGTTTCTCTGCGTCACATACTCAATGCTGGTGGACTCCATCAGCAGGGCATAGTCAGTGGTGAGCACTCGTTGGATGCCCTCGTCACTGTTTTTTACCAGGGCAGTCTGCTGCCTGCTGCTCATGAAAGCCCACATCTTCTCATAAGTGGATATCTTTGATTTCTGCAGGGAAAGAAAGCACACCCACCAGCAGAAGAGTGCTGAAAAAAAATATGGCCTAAAGCTATTCAAACTTCCAATGATTCGAATAATACAGGGAAGATTCTTTCTCCACAGGTGAGACCCTGATACTTTAATTTGGTAGCTGAAAAGAGCTCAGTTCACTACAGGAAAGCACATGGAGGCACTGAGGCAGCTATCTAGGTAGAGGAGACCTTGAACTGTTGGTTGATTAGCTCAACGTGCTTTTGTTGCTTCCAGTTAAGGAAGAAGGAACATTGGAATCAATAGTAGCACTTTCCTAATGAACTGTGGTCACTTAAGAACATGCCATCATAACTCACTGGGCCAAGGGGTGACTAGCTCACTCCAGGACTCTGCTCATTTACTGTTTTCCTTCCAATCATTCAACTTCAGCAGGCATTGTTTTACTGTTTTCAGGTATGTAAATTTCAGTACCGGATACAGCATTCCTTTGCTGGAGACAGCCCTGGGATTCTCCCCTTTCTCTGTTTTACTGATGAAAGCACTACCCTTCACTCATATCTTTTCTAGAAAACCTAGAATGTAAATGCACTTTTAAAATAAAAATTCAGATCAGAAAACTCTTCAAGCTATATTTATATGCCTTTTTATGTATATAATTTTTAATTGCAATCATATATTAGATAAAAAGAACTGTATATCTCATTTCAAAGTATTCTATGATTTGATCTTTTCTCTTACTCTTCAGCTGTTTGATAGTTTCAAACTATAGATATGTTATATAATATATGCATCTATACATATACACCACTACTTCATTATCTTTCTTTGTTAAAACATAGTGCCTAAATTTTCATATTGCTTAGACATGAATTTTCTAGTTGTGATCTATAATTAGGCATTTTGCATTTTACTCTGTAATCTCCATATTGTTCCAATTTTTCCTGGATTTTTTTTCATTTGCATCACTATGCCCCTCCATTTATTTCAGGGATGAAGGACATTATGGGAATTACCTTTATTTCAAATTAACCCCAGTTCTCATGCAAATATATAGTGTTCACACACATTAGACAGATTCCTTGGCAGGCACAGGATGTATCATCTCAGGAGTACAGAGAAGCTTAAAACATGATTTTGGGCCATAAGCAATAAATACAATACCTGTGGAATCAACTCTAGAGCACTTATTCATGCTCAGATATTCCTAGGGGCTCACTCAATTCCTAACTCTATTTAAGACCTGTGTTACTACTGTAGGCTTTATGAGTTACAGGAGGACAGACGGCTTTATTTTGGATTGTTAGGCCTTTGAAAAGCCCCCTGAGAAAGGTCTGGGAGACAAATAATAATTCAATAAACAGTACCTTATAGATATTGGTATTTTATGGGACTCATTCTGTCATGATTAAGCTCCTGTGAGTTACTCCTCAACCCCAGAGACGCCTGCAAATTGGAGCTCAAGTCTCTACAACAAAGGTATGTTTTGGGGGTCAGGGTCAGTGCCTCATTTGTTGTGCGCTTTCAGCTTTGCAGAGTCGGATAATGCTAAACTTTTAATAAAGAGCTGCTCATACAAGTGCAGGGAGGTCAATCTGTCTTTTGGTAGTAAATGTACAGCTGGGAAAATTATTCCTCCATCAGGAAAGTTCCTTAGGGGAAAATAATTTTCTTTGAAGTATGAAATTTTAAAGTCGTCAGAGACTTTAGAAATTGACTCATTCAGACTGCTGCTTTCACAGAAGAGGTAATGTTGGTCCAGAGATTTGGAGATTCAAAAAGCCACAAAGCAAGTTAATATCAGAACTAATCCTGGACCCCATGACCCCAATATCTAGTTCAAAGCCCTTTCCACTGCACCATGCTGATTTGGGAAAGGTGAGTGATAAAATTCTTTTCAGAATGATTTTAATGTTATTTGATCTACATGTAAAAATATAGCTTATATTCATGGACTCATATTATTCCCTGAGGCAGTTTGCTAGTTGGTCTCATGTTAATACAAAGTAGGAACCAACCTCCATATAAAAGATTCCATGAAACATTTATTTTTTTCACCATATTTCAAATTTTATTAAAATGCAGGCTGTAAATAGTCAGAAAACTGGATTTTTGGTTTATGAAAGTCAAGGTCAAAACAAAGTAATTGGTCAATTCTTCCATGGTAAATGGACAAAGTGTGGGAAGATCTTTGAGGCATCCAGGGAACTGAAGGACACAGAAGGAGATGAAAAGATACAACTCAAAACCTACACAGCTGTTATTGAGTCCCTTTCAGGAGTGGTTCTCAAATTATCTGTAGTCAAGGACTTTATTTTCAATACAGACCTAGCTGTGGTCCTACAGCACACAACTAGCATGCAGCCCATACTACGTGTGACTCACTATGTGAATACTTGGCAGCACTCAAAGTGCTCTAATCTCAGGGAGAAGAGAGATCCCGAGCTCGGTGCCACCACAATATTCAATAGCTGCAATATTTCTAAACTCTTACTCAGTTTTTTTTGCATATCTTGTCATAGCTTGGTAACAAAATGTTTCCTAAGCCAACATGTTCTTCACAGTACATTTTGAGTAGCACTGTTCAATTGAGCAGAGGTCATGAATTTAAATCCAGCAACATCCATTCTTCCTTCTTGGAGTAGAAGGCTGTTCTTGAACTGAATTCCTCAAGGAGCTACAGGGAAAATATAATTGGCATGGACTTCTTTGAAGCATGGAATGTAGAACCTTTTCTCTGTAAGAAAACTGTTACTTGGTAGGGGACTTGGTCAAGTTGAAGGTGTAAGAACCATTATGAATTCCTTTCACTCCTTGCTATTCTTGCTCCAGCCTAACAGTGCTAAAAATAATGGGAGCAAGAAGTTTGCTTTTATTTAAATAGATCCATTTTATAGAAATATCCCTCTAATGTTTCATTTTCATTGAGATAAGCATTACTTATTATTTTTTTGACCAGGTTTTAGGGCTTTTACAGGGCAGTTGTATAGTCCCATTATTCAGTAGAATCAGTAACTGCAAGATCCATTTTATAGAAATATCCCTCTAATGTTTCATTTTCATTGAGATAAGCATTACTTATTATTTTTTTGACCTGGTTTTAGGGCTTTTACAGGGCAGTTGTATAGTCCCATTATTCAGTAGAATCAGTAACTGCACAATTCTACTTCAGATCAATATTTCTGAAGATTTTATATATAGATCTGTGTTTATATATGTCTATTTTTACATATATCTTTAACTGCACATGTATACATACACATTGGAAAGAAATTATTGATATTTAGTTTGTTACCTTATCAAAAGTGATCTTATAAATATGCATACTGAACAAATGAAATATCATAAAATGATTACATTTTAATATCTCCAACTTACTTTTACTTTAGGCAAATCCTGATCTAAGAAAAACCTTAGAAATCAACCAAAACATAGAAATCAGTTATGTAGAAATCCAAACTTGTGAAATAAACACATCAAGGGTGAATATTGCCTTAAAAACAACCATTTCTTCTAATACATGATTAACAATATTATTTTGTTAGATAATAAATTCTCATGCTATTTTAAAAATATGATTTAATTTACAAAAATCATTCTGAAGAAAGACTATCAGAAGAAAGCATTTACAGTACGGTGTGGAGCCTCTGTCTTTCAAATGTGTATGATATGATTGTTGCAGATGATTATGCTCTTAGCTTAAATTGATAGAAAGTTATGACATTTGCACATTCTCCAAGGTTTTAAAAAATCATGGGTTCGCTTTAGATAATTCCCTCAGTGGAATTTAAATATCTTTGCTAAAATATTTTTCATGTTTTCTTCCTGTTTGGAGTTAAAGATTGGTCTATTACAGGCAATATACTGGGCTTTGAAAAAGGTTAACTTAAATTGACCTCATGGATTTCTTCCCAAACAAATACATTTTTTAACCTACAGAGACCTAACATTTATGATACTGATGGTAAATTAGCTGGATTTTTCAAACACAAGCTAATAGCTCTTATGTGAAGAGTGCCTTTCTATATAGAGACATTTGAGAAATTTCTTTCATCTTGTGCTTTCTGAAATGGTTATTTCTGTCCAAAATCTTTCTCTCCACAAGGCTCATTACTTCAGTTCTATTGGTGCAGTGCTCAGCAACTTCTCTGAAAGTCTTTTGGGTTAATGACAGCACCTAACTACTCCCTGGAAGGAGATTAAAAAGGTTAGAGAGTCCCTTATTCCCACAGCTGGTCCAAAGTCCCTAGACCATGAAAGCCAGAAATGACAAGTCTGTTATGATGTTTTAAAACCTATTTTATCCAAGTCATTTTAGACTGAATCATGATCTAATCTGTGTAATCCTCTAGCTTGAGTCTGGAAGAATAATGATTTGTTACAAGGCGAACTGCTACTGGAAAGTGTTTCTTACATGAGTATTTCATAGCCAGTTTGGCTCACAAGGAATTCTTCTGATGTCTACACCACTTCCTGTTTGCACAACTGATAGTACCTATCCACATGTTGCATTGTATTTAACAGGTATGTGTGTATCTTGTCTCTCTATGGCTATTCTGATCTCTAAGCCTTGCACAAGACTTTATAACTTCCCCGAATCCACAGTCTCTTACAGTGCTAACCTCCATGCTGGCCGTATTGTCGACCCTAGAAAAAGTATAAATTGAACTGAATTAAACTGACCTGTCTCACTCTGCTCCTGAGCTGGATGCTAAGGACAACCTCACCATCTATTGCTTACCTTCTATCTGGGAAATGGTTCTTCAGCAAATGCAACACATGTGTGCAGGAAGGGCTTCCAAAGACCAGGGTCTCTTTCTGGCCAGGCCTCTAAAAGTCTTTGAGATCTTGGACACTGTAACTCCCTCTGGTGTTTTCTGAACTTTAGCAGAAAGCACACATTCCAGAGATTACTTACAGTAAGGAAACTGAACAAAGACCAAACTAGAGTATTTTTAAATCTAGAGCGATTGAAAAATTAGGACTAATAGCTCGGGTAAGGGTTGAGTGATAATGGT